CTCTTGGAGAGGGGCCCGGCAAACTGTGTTTTCACAAGCCCTTCAAGGGATTCTGGGGCATCCTGAAGTTTTTGGAGCACTATGCTAAACCATTAGCTACATGAGGGTAGGAATCTTTATTCTTATCCCCTTAGCACCTAGTTCAGGCCCTGGTTTTGAGGAGACACCAATAGGCACTTGCTGGGTGGCTGTGGTGAACAGATAGCTGGGAGGTCATTCAGCTCTGTGAAGCTCTGTCTGAAACACATTCCCCTTGTGTCTTTCACCTTGCTCCCACTTCTGCTGGGATGTGGGTGCCTCCCAGGGCAGTGCCAGGGGCTGCAGGCATGCCAGGTGGCAGCAGACGGAACCTACTTTGGAGACCTTTGCCCCACTCTGGGCAGCTACCTGTGGGTGCAGTACCAGTGCCTGGAAGGTGAGTCTCCATCTTGCTTGGGTGTGGGAGCTTCCTTCTCATTTTTGCAGCAGGAAAAGCCTCCCTCCCAGAGGCAGCTACCACCCACGCAGGCCCATCAGTTGTACACTAAGAGACTTCCTCACCCAAAGGAGCTGCCCTGTGGCCAGACTGTCCCATCTAGTGGAGCCTCTTGGGGTAAACCATTCAAGGCTCCTGTTACAAATGTTCTTTAGTAGAAACAAGCAATTAAGCCTGGAGTTAAAAAAAAAAAAAATTTTTTTTTCATGCCAGGACCCTTCAAATTAACTCTTGTGGGTAACACAATAAATACTACAGACAAAAGGAAGGCCACCTGATTGAAAGAAGTCAACAGGTCCCTCACTCCCACACCCCACAATCACTCCACTACTATCCTTCCCATAAACACATAGAACTTTTTTTAACATAAAAATACTGAAATCCATGAAAATAACCCATGTTATCACCATTTAGGGGCCCTGGTGGCACAATTGTTAAGCCCTCAGCTGCTAACCAAAAGGTTGGTGGTTCGAACCTACCAGCCACAGGAGCAAAGACCTGGTGATCTGCTTCCATAAAGATTACAACCTAGGAAACCCCACAGGGCAATTCTACTCTGTCCTACGGGGTTGCTGTGAATCAGAATCAGCTTGAGGACACACAACTACAACAATCACAACTTACAAAAGTTTCCTTTAAGAAGGAAAAGTCCCTCCCTTCAATTCCACAATCCCATTCCCCATATAGAAACCACTGTGAACTGCTTAGAATAAATTCTTCCTGCTTTTTTTAATGTTTGCATACACATGGCTATCTGTATGTATTAATGTATACATGTATAAATATTCTTTTATAAAAACATAATCATGTTAAACATATGGGTGTACAACTTAATTTTTTCACTTAATAATACATCCTGGGCATCTTTCCACGCCACTATCTTATCCTTTTCATGACTGCAGAGTTTTCCATTGTAAGATTATGTTGGAATTTAATCAGTTCCCCTATTGATGGACATCTAGGTTTCTTCCTGTTGTTACATGTCATGCTGTAGTGTTCCCTCTTGTGTATGTATCTTTACATGTATCTGTTATTAGTTTTGGAGGAGGGATTCCCAGTATCAGGACTGCTGAATCATAGAGGATGTGCATTTTAAATGTTAATAGATATTGCCAGATTTCCTTCCAGAATGGTTGTACCAATTTACATTCCTAAGGGCAGTGTATGACAGTGTTTCCCCTAAGGGTATGAAATCACAGCCTTAGTCATTGTCAGACAAATCGATGGGTCCGAACAGCTCCTTCTACTGAGGGCAGGGGCAATAGGGCAAGCAGCTCGGAAGAGAAAAGATGAGTCGGGGAATGTTGGGGTCCTCAGGGGCCACCCAGGAGAGCAGGGCCCTTGGGTGCAGAGGGAGAGAGGACCACACAAAGGGGAAGGTGACATCAAAGCCTTGTTTTACCAGGGGCATTTAGTTTGCTGGACGTGCCTGCATGAAAGAAGAGTGAGTGAGACGTCTCTCTTTCACTTTCTGGGAAGAGCGGACCACGTGTTTTGGTAGCGATTTCCATTTGGCAGTTTTGTTAATGGAAGTTAAATTTTACAAAATCTTGATTTTCAAAAGCTGGCATGCAGGATGGGATAAAGGAAGAAAAACTTCCTAGGGCTTCACGGAGCCCTGGGCTCATTTATACAGCTCAGTCTTGCTGTTTCTGAGCACAAATGAGAAGGGAAAGGATATAAGAAGCTGAAATGGTACCCATGTTCTTTGGAGAGCTGCCAGCCATAGTAGTGCCATCATTACACAGATACATAGCTTAGGGCAAGGGATGCATTAAGCCTAGTGACCACACAGACCAGAATTTCTTTCCCAACACTGATTTCAAACATGTTGCCCCACTGTGAATCAGGATGTCCCAATTTCTGATTCCTGAAGGGAGGGACTTAATCTAGCCCCAGTGATTGTGCATAGGAGGGTCTAGGTGCATCCTGAACATGCTCAGGTAGTTGTACTCACTCCAGCTCCACAACCAGGACATGACAGATTTCGTATTAGCTCAAGGAAGTCCTTTTCTCTTGCATTCGGTTTCTAGTATCCTTTCTCTTCTCATTTGTGCTCAGAAAAGGAAAACTGAGTTGCATAAATGAGCTCAGGGTTCCGTTAAGTCC